TGAAGCCAGGTGAAAAGACTGTAACAAGACTTTCCTCTTTCTGGCAAAGATCTTTTAAAACTATTTTTGGCTCTTTTAGAAACAATTACATAACACACATAATAGAATCTTGGAATAAAAATTACCTATTTATAAATAAATGAACAATAGCAGTTATCTGCAGGAAAATGTCAGCAAAAATGGCTGACTAAAGACCCCAAGGCTTAAGTTTGCTCCAACTGAACCAATACTTTTCTGATAGACAAAACCTGCACATATACTAATTGAAACAGCTCTTTCAAAGCATGTAATGACAAATACTTTACTTTCTTGGAATGCTTATTAGTATGTATGTGTGTGTTGTTCCAATATTAGAGTTTGAAAGAGTAAGAAGGGAATAGTAGGATCTCAATTTTGACTGCCATTGGAGTAGTCAGCTATTACTCCATGTTATTAAATGTGGGGTGCTGCTTAATACTATTCACACCTAAGTAAATATAGCCTTGAGTGAATTTATACTTAAGAGTAAAATAACTAATTTACCAAACTTGTCACTTTAACTATCAGACTTTTTAAAAAGCATGTAACAAGAATCTAGCAGAAAATTCAGTTGGAATAGAGATTAAAATTATTTTTATCATACACTTACATCCTAAAAAATAAAACAATTTGGCAATGCTAAAAAAACCCAGTTACGAAGCAGTTTAGTTATAAACTACCAAAGCACCCAAAACAAATGAAAAAAAGTTGAATATTTAAAGTATTTTACACTACCTATTAAATTAATAAAATTAAGACTGAAAACAGTAAAAGGCACTATTACCAATATCAGTCTTACCATTATTATGTTAGTTTGGTTTGAGTCAGACTTTAATTTTCAAACAATGAATAGCTTCAAAGTTTTTGGACTTTTTTGTAACCATAATATAAATAAATGAAACATGCAAACATAATACAGAGGATACTGTACTGAGGATACTCAGGCCACACTGAAATTTAGGGGGAAAAATGCAAGAAACATTTGAACTTTGGTGGTTCAAAGCCTGACTAAACATGCTTTGCTTCTTAAAGGCCGAGGTCCCTATAATACAGGGATTACCTGTATTATGAGGAACTCATATATACAACTTCCTAGCAGTGAAGATGCAATAAGGCAAAACAACAAAACAAAGTAGTCCTCGATGGAGCCCAACATTTGTTGTTAAACAAGACATTTGTTAAGTGAGTTTTGCTTCATTTTACAACCTTGTCACAGTTAAGTGAATCACCGCAGCTGATAAGTTGGTAACCCAGTTGTTAAGTGAATCTGGTTTCTCCATTGACTCTGCTTGTCAGGAGATCATAAAATATGATCACAAGACTTTGGGACACAGCAACGGTCATAAACCAGTTGCCAAACATCTTAATTTGGATCACATGATTATGCAAAGTTCATAACTGTGGAAGACTGTCACAAGTCACTTTTTTTCAGCGCCACTGTAACTTTGAACGGTCACTAAATAAACTGTTTGTAAGTCGAGGTCTACCTGTATATTATCCATGACTTGAAGCACCCTTCCTCACCTAGTACTCACCACATGCTCCGAGTTACACATCGGAGCATCCTCAATGATTGAAGGGGTGAAGTCCAACGTAATTGGGGAGAGCATGGGGTCGGGGGAAAGAGAACGATGTCTGAATTAAAACGCCAGAATAAACAAGGGCTCAATGCAGGAGAAGGGAAGGATTTTCATTCAAAACCAGCAGAGAACACAGACGATAATCACGATGCAGGTAGAAAGTACAGAATAAAACAGCCGAGCCACCTTAACAGAAAAATACCAGAAGGTAGCCAACCTGAATGAGAGCTTAACTGAGGAAAATCACCCCCTCACCTGCTCGAGAAAGAAGCCGCCCGTAACCAAAGGCAGACGCCACTATTGCCATTACAAGCCGGCCAGGTTTCCTCCCGCTTGCGCGCCCAACGGAACCGGAAGTTCAGCCCTGGAACAGCTGGCTCGCCGTTTATAGGGGCCGTCGGGCAATGAGAGCCAGGTTTTAAAGGGCCGTGGTCGGTACATCGTTGCCTGCTGTCCTCCCCAGAACGGGGCTTCTCGAGGCGTCCGCTCAAGCCGGCAGCAATGGCGGCGTTGGTGGGAGAGTTTGTGTCCCGGCAAATGGAGTTGCTAAAGGAGGAAAGAGAGGCCGAAATTTCGGAAGCAAGGTATCCTTCGGCTAGGCGGGGCAGCTGGTTTCTCAGCATTCCCCGTGGCAAAAATATGAATGTATTAATTTAAGCAATGGCTTAAATTATATATTTTGACCTTTGTAAACAAGCTCGTTCAAATATCTGTTTCCTAAGTCTAAATTGCTGCTAGCCAGTATTGGTTAACAACCTGGCTTAAAGACATTTATTAGGGCAAGAATAGGTAACGACAGCAGGTTGACCTAGCTTTGCTAGAGTATCTGTATCACCTGCCTTATAATTGAAGACTTGAAACCCTTAAGCAAATCTGCCTTTGGAGAATTGAGTCTGTTAGAAATATTTGTGTAAATACAGTGTTTGTATATTTAATAGTAGATAAACACCATAGTAAATGTAGCTACTTGTATGAGGGCTAAATTCTATAAACCTGTGTGATATTTACTTCAAAATAACTATAGGGTATTGCTGGTCAGTTGACCAGAATGACAGAGCAAAAATAGTGATAAACTATAAAAAATATCAGCCATAATGACTGATTTACAAAGTATGCTAATCCAGACAATTGTAGCATGGATTTTTGTGATGTGTGAATCCAGTATCTTTCTAGCTCTATAGATAGCAGAGTTGAAAGCACTTATGAATAAACTAATAATTTAAAAGTACTCATTAAGACATAAAATCCAGATAGTTGAAGAACTTAAATATAGTTTTGGTGTCACATATGAGCTGCTTGGAAGTTGCTGATTAATGTATTCCCTAATCATAATAGTTGCAAGTAATTAGAATAACATTAGTTAAGAGGTAAGAGGAAAAGTCCTGTACCTATAATAATGCATTGAATACAGTGTCACTTTCTTTTGACTGGATATGTGTTTTTTTTCTAAGAGCCCAGAGAATAAATAAAACAGGCTAAACCTCACTTTTTGATTTCAACTTTTTCTGTTCTTCATCCATCACATTACTGAAATTAGGCAATGTTCAAGGTCACTGATTTCTGTCTTGCAGCAACATTGCTAGGGAGCAATAAAGTAGGTGTTATCAGCATACTAATGAATTCTACTCCATGTCCTGAAGGATTTCCAGCATTTTCATGTATGTGTTTAACAGCAGAGGAAAGGTAGAATGCTATGGGTTTCTATAGATCAACAATTTATGTATCAAATAGTAGTCTCCCAACACTACGTATCTGGACACATCCTGAGAGGAAGGGTCAGGATCACTGCAATGCCTACCCAGGTAGCCAAGAAGGTTATTACAGTCAGGGGTATTAAAAGTTACTGAGAGGTCCAGAAAAACTGGAATAATTGTACTTGCCCCCATCTACCTTCCAGCATAAATCATCCACCAAACTGATCAAAGCAATCTCAACACCTGGACAAAATCCTATTTAAATTGACCCGGGTAATCTTTAAGGGGTTGTACTTGAGACAATACTTAATTTGTTGCTTAGTGTAGGCCCTGAAGTGAATTTTTAGAAAGCAAATGGCTCTGAGATATGATTAAGATTTCTTCCCATCCTCAACATGATAATATCTCAATGCTTATAGCTAGTAATTGAGTATTTTTTCTAGTTATACCAGTATATTTGATCCACACTTTGTAAAAATCTGTAGTCTGTTTAATTATGAATAAATTACTGCTGTTTGGGTTTGCACAATATAGTAACAAGAATCAATAGATTGTGATAGAATATAACTTCAATAAATAAATGAAATGTTAAGATAACATTGGGTAGAGGGGGTGACTTTGAGCAACTGCCATTGCATTGTCAGACAATAAGATATAAGAATGCAGGAATATCTAGCAATTGATTTCTGGAAAAATGCAATAAGTACATGTTTTATAGCCCAATTAAATATATACATATACATTAAAAACTGTTGAAGACTAAAAATTATCTGTTCCTTAAATCTGTGACCTTTTTTGAACTATTGTTCATTTTCTGATATTAAGAAATATGTAATTTGTTCCTAGTGTGAAATATTCAGCTGAAAAACAAAAATGAGGGAATATGTGACAAAGTGGCAACTCTTTTGACAGGCTGCTTAGATGGGCAGTGGGAATGCATAATGCCAGGTCCTTCAGCCATTCAGGCGCCACAAAAGCCTTGAGTGGAATCTCTGGAGACCTCCATGTATTACCAAATTATAGTTCATAATTTGACAGAAAAGGAAATTAAATTTATGGCTAGAGAGCAATCCTATTAGCTATGTTACTTTACATTAAGAGGAAATGAAAACAAAATCCTATCCACATCTATTATTTTGGGGAGAATAGCTGCAAGCATGCCATTCAAAACATATATATGGTTTTTCCCCACCCCAAAATCTGATGCATCCCTGCTAAACATAGGTATAAGAGTTAGAAACTGGTTTGATTTGGTCCATGATTCCTTCAAAGTTTAGCATCTGCAAGATATTATGGCACAAGAAAACAAGCAGTCTTGAAATTGCCAAATGCTAAATGGGCCATCAAAAATGCACAAATATGAATATTGTGGAGATATTGCAAGGTTTTATCTACTTTGATGTCCTTCAAATGGAAATTATGAGTGTTCTAGTTCAACATATTTGGAGGTTTGAGAAGACTTGTTACAATGCTGCAAGTCACCCAGAATTGTTTAAGACGAGTGCCTATATACATCTTTAAAATAAATAACATTATTATGTATATGGAGATGTTTTTTGTTGTCCACCAATGTTCTGTCTGGATGGAGGCAAAGAGGGCAACAAATATGATTTAGCTCCTCAGGTGGCATCTAATTAACAAAGGCATGGTTTTTCTCTTTGCATGATCTTTTTTCAGAGCATGGCAAGAAGGAATCTCCCTGAAAGAGCTGCAACGTAGAGGAGTTTGCTTACTGAAACTCGAACTACATTGTCAAAAAACTGGGCTATATGGCCATCTGCTTGTAACTTTACAGTCTCAAAAACATGGCTCAGACACAGAGCTACCTTCCAATAGTTTTGGGCCTGGTAAGTAAACAATGTTAATTTTGAAAGTTTATTGTAAAACGCTTTACAGTAGCTTTAGATATTGGAGGATAGACCTTCATGATGTGATAGGTTATTTCTGAATCTGTAATGATCTCAAAGTCTTCGAATTACAGCTGTCACATCAAACAATGATAAAACTAGACTTTTTTTTATTCACACATGGAGTTATTAGCAGCATACATTTTGCATTATTTTAAATATATAATCACCCAAGTAAAGCAGTTTATTATCACAAATATAATATGTCTGATGGACAGAGATAAGGACTTTGCAGCATTCAAGTCAGTTTTGACAATTTACAGTAGAAGAAGGACAAGAAGCAATGGATGGAAACTAATCAAGGAGAGAAGCAACCTATGTTTGTTTATGTTTATGTTTATTGTATTTATATCCCGCCCTTCTCCTTGCGGACTCAGGGCGGCTAACAGGCTGAATAAAACACATACAAAATACCAAATACTATAGTTAAAAAACATAATTAAAAGAAAATATTAATACTTGGCCTATATTTAATTTAAAATTATTTTAAAAACCCGGTTAAAAATTTCCCCTAGGCCAGTCCTGCTAGCTGA